TATGTATAGTTGGATCTTTGTTTCGCCGGGAATAAATTCGAATTTCCGATGGATCACCCAGGAAGCTTTGAGAAATTAGGTGATGAAAGAAGACCACTCCAATGCCGGAAACGGATGTCCCGATCCTCTCACTTTCACTCTATGTTTCTTTTTATTATTATTACGGTAGTATTAACATAAAATATATGTAAATCTACTAATGCATCAGTCAGGTAAGACTTTTGATCCTAACATACCGCCAAACCATATATATTATATATTCACTGAATCTACGAAGAAAGTCAAAGAATCTTCCTGGGCACAAGCTTTACTGTAGTATCTTCCTCCAGATATCTTGACCCAAGACTGATGTCGTGACTCGTGTGATGTGGTCGGCTTCGCTTTCTGCTTTACCTTCATCATTATTGATTGAACTATCTCAATACTTGAATACGCGTGTCATTATATTGAATCGAATGATTGATTCACGGATGAAGCAGGTACTACTATGAAAAAGTCTTCATTGAGATGTGAAATTGCGAGCCTCCAGCAGACACGAGTTTTCTTGCTCCAGAGGTACAATAATACTATTTACAACATATAGTGTAGCTAGCTGAAAAAACATATTTCTAGCTTGTTTCTAAATCGATGCTATATCATATATTGAATATTGACGGTGGGCTCATTCGGCGTTGTGGAACCTGAATCGGTAGGTCGGGGGACGATTCTCCTCCTCCACTGTTGTTGTTGGCGGGCGAGTGGTGACTTGTAGCATTCTCTATTTCGTCGTCTGGTGATGCTGGTGCCATGGACACAATTTCTTCGATAGAAGAATCAAAGGAGCTCTCTAATCTTGCAGGAATGGCTAGAGCTAGTTCATGCTTCTTTCTTGGTCGTTCATGATCATCATCACCGTCTGCTCCCGATGCCGCCACAAGCTGTATCGAACCGGAACTCCATCTTCGATCGAGAGTCCGAGGAGGACTGAACAGTATGTCATCATCTTCACTTCGAAGCATTTCGGACAATGTTTCAAAGACGGATTCTTCATTTTCACTAATGATATCGAGGGCCGACTGCAGCAACAAACTGGATCGCTTTCGCTGCGATACCAATGGGGCATTGCGACTTTTATTCATAGAAGTCTTGTCGTCCCAGCGCTCATCGTCCATTCCTTGCATGACATGATCAAAGTCGCCTTGGCTGGCCGTCAAGTCCGATACCATGTCTGGTGGAAGGCGAGCGACAGAAGGTGAAAGTACTTGGTCAGAAGCAGCAGCTTTTGCTGGTAGTTGGTTGGAATCATTGCCATCCAACACGAGTTGTAAAGGATCACTTTGTCCTCGCGGACGAGTCGTTGGCTTGACTTCCTCACCAAAAATGGCACGTCGGATTACCCATTGCCGGCTCTCTCGTTTGTGAAGGTGCCGAAACTTGAGGTATTTAGGACGGATAAAAACCATCATGTTGAAAAACCCTTGAAGCGGTGAGAAAATTGCCTGTAGTACAAAGATTGGGTACATGCGGACCAACATGGCCAACTCATCTTGGACACTTTCGCGTTGATCTTCCAATAGTGCACAAACGCCAGTCCAGGCATTGCATACAACAAAGCTGATCACAAACAAGATGGCCTGCGAGCTGACCAGTCGTATCCGTCTTGCTTGATCCTTGTTATTCATAAGTGCAGTAGCAGAACGCAAGCTCCCATCTAGCATGTCATTCCTTGCTACATCTTTGCTGCAATTTTTTTTGGCGCCTGTTAAGACATATTTGGCTTCCGGTTGAGTGCTCACAGAAGAGTCGTCTCTATCGTCATCCTCCACGATACTCTCAGAATAGATGCGGGTACTGGTTCCGAGTGTGAAGCTCTTGGTTGAATGTGGTGTCAAGCGTCTTTGCCTTCGGGCATGCAGCAAGATGGTGGTGTTGATCAATACCAGGCTGATCATTACCAGGATTAGTGGAATGGCGTAGGAAACCCAACTAATGATGCGGATCGCGAAGTTCTCTGTCGCCGCTATCCAACAACCAATACCCATTGTCACTTCCCCATAGCCGTCTAAGATCTCCAACGCAATACCAAAGACAAGAGGATACCCAATGGAAATAATATGCATCCAAGGCTCAAACCTTCTCGCAATGTAAGAATTGCTAATTCCATATCGAACCGTCAGAAGAAAGTAGAACCCAAGCATTCCTTGATAGATCATTGTAGCATGTGAGATCTGGTTGAGAAAACCCACAACGTTGCATGTCGTTTTGTTCCCAACACTCAGCATCCGAAGACTTGTGTCTTGAGGACGTAAAAAAGCAGCGACGCTGGAATTCAAACTATAGACTATATCGTAAACGCTCATGGCAAATAGCAATCGAAGGTACGGAGTAAGTTTGCCTTGTTGCTGTTGCTTGGCTTTGAAGATCATGTAAATGATCACGGAACTCCCAAGCACACTCAGAATGGCACTTGGAATTGGCAAGAACCCCAATAGTTTTTCCTGGAAATCCGAAGGTTGGAATGAAACTCTAATGGTTTCCGTCGCTGCATCATGGCTGTCGGTAGCTGTAGTGTTGCTCTTATAGTCTATCGTCATGGCTAGTACTACCTAGGAATTTTAGTTGAAAATGGTGGAGTGAATGAATGGAAGGCCAGCGTACCATGCAACGGAATAAATGGTTCCATTTTGTGGTACTATAAATATCGTGTTTGGAGGAGGATTTCAGGTAGCAAGATATTCTTCGCAACCAAGAACACAAGCTTTTTCAACTCTGTTTTTAAGTGTACATCTGGTCTGATATCAATTCGTCGTTTCACCGGTATTCAATTTGCCTGTACCGACGAGCAAATTGCAAATGATGGTGAGCTAATCTTCTCCGATGCTGGTAACGGGGTATTTATTGGCCCCTCGCCGCAACCAATCCACGTATCTGAGCCGAATGCAAAATTAGACGCTACATATCGAACGTGTCTGTACATGGAACCCTCAAGGGTTTTTCTGCTAAGAATAGAAAGCCCACTTATACGGTACCGGTACAGTACTGTAGCTGTAAAAAAGAAAAAAGCTTTTCCAGAGCTGCACCCAGCTTGATGCATATATATGCATACAAGCTTTTCAAGTCCTTCTTATCATATTAGCTTGTCCAAAGAATGCCCGCTTCGCTGCAATAGTCCAACTACCGGTACGTGTACCGGTACTGTAGATAGCCGAAACGACGAGACAGATATTTCATAGAATCTCCATTGCACCTTTGAAGAGCGGCAAGCTTCTTTAGTATCTTCTGCGTTTCTATTGGTTTCGTAACTGTGAATCAAATAACAAATAACCATCAACAATAATATATATATAACTGACGAGAATATATAAAGGAGCGCCATCCTGCGAGAGCTTTCAGATGTTTCATCCTGTCGAGCTTGTACCACGATTGATTTCGTAGCTAACTGGCCCGCATCGAGTGATATAGCGAAATTGGAACTCCAGAACAAGGTAGTGAACCGCGCATCAACTAACCCGAACCCACTAACACTGAAACGAGAGAATAGTTGAGCGCCAAATCGCTTTTAGTTTTGTTTCATGGATTCATGTTATTATATTATCAAAATTGCAACGCCAGGCCGGTGGATCCCTGTCAAGCTAGGTGGTGTCACGGAGCTTTAAAAGTCATCAACAGTGGAAGTAGGTGTTGGACTCAACCTACGCTTCGGTATTCTGATTGGGACGTCCTTAGATGTATCATCTGTCCAATCAGTGATAGAAGTTGAATCTTCTACAGTCGACTTCAATTCACTCTCCACTCGTTGTGGACACAAGGTGGACAAGGAATCCGTAGACTTTCCGTTGCTGCTCCACCGCATGTCCGATGATAGTATATTTGGTTCTTTACTGATGTGCAAAGCTTTCTCTTCTTGGCTGCAGAAGGTAATTTCCTCATATTCACTGATTACTTCTAGTGTGGAAACTCTTGCTTTGGAATGGAACCTCGTGGAAATTGCGGACATCTGAGTCTTGTCCTCAGAAAACCCTTTCCAGCGATCACCAGATGATGCACTAGCGACAACAATATGGTCAAAGTCACCATCACTGTTAGTCAGTGATGATTCCGTTCTCCCATATGGGAGTCGCGTTAGCTCTTGTTCTCCTGGTGGCACTTGCTCGTCTACCCTGGCACCCTCCATTGGTTCTTCTATTACCCCCTCTTGTAGACGAGCAAGCTGCTTCTTTCTTTCCTCTCCAAAGATTGCCCTCCGAACGACCCATCTTCTTGGTTGATGTGGATGTTGCTGTCGAATCGCAAGATACCGAGGTCGAATGTAAACCAACATGCTGAGAAATCCTTGAAGCGGCGCAAAGAAAGCTTGACAAGCGAATACGGGGTAAAACTGAACAAGAATCTTCATCTCGGTCTCTTCAGTCCCTATCGATTCAAATTTTGCTCCAGCGGTGGTCCATGCATTACATAGAAAGAAGGAACTAACAAAGAGCAATGCTTGAGAGCTCACCAGCCTAACTCTCCGCTGCTGATATAGCCTTTGATCGACATGGCAATCACGTCCAGTAGAAGACTGCCCACAGGGCTGGCGCTGGGCGGGCTGTTGGGGAGCTGGCTGCTCTTCTCCTGACGCCAATGACGAATCAGCATCATCTACTTCAGTAGCTGTCTCGAATCCTGTAGCTTCTTGCCTTTGAACAGTGCTGCCATTCAGCCGAGGCCTCTTGCTCTTTTCGCGAGGCATCTGGCGTCGGACAAATGAAAACATCACAAAGTTGTTGGCGATCAAAATTGTGAACGCTAATATCACTGGTATACCATACCAGAGGTATCCCATGATCATCGAAGCACATGCCGTTTCACCCCAGCTCTCTTGGCATTCTTTCGGCCAAGTACCCAACCAACAGCCCAACATTGTAGATGATTCATCGTAAGCACCTAATGAAAGAGTAATTATGGCAGTTGCCAACGGATAGCCAATGGAAACAAGATGCATCCATGGCTCAATCTTTTTGGCAATGTAGTCGTTGGAGACACCGAATCGAGCAGTCAGAACGAAATAGCATGAGAGCATGGACTGGTAAAATATTGTTGCCGTGGTAGCCTGATTCAAGAATCCGACAGTGGAACAGGTTGCCGAGTTGCCAAAAGAGTAGACCCGAGAGCTTGTCGCGTGGGGACGACCAAATGTAGCCATGCTGAGATTGCTACTGAGTATGATATCACAGACACTCATTGCTACCAAAAGCCTCGTATACGGCGAGCACTTTCTTTTCCTTCGGTTGTTGTATGCCATGTAAATAATCGTTACACTTCCTACCACACTTAGCATTGCACTTGGAATGGGGAGGATGGCCAAAGCCAGCTCTTTGCGAGCCGACAATTTACAATCTACACTCATTGTTTCTATGCTATTACAGTAATGGTTGCTTTTCAAGTTTACTGATTATGGTATCCGCAAGCATATTGGTGAGAAGGCGGATGACTTTTGGGATCCTTTGTACGAGCTTTTTGTGAGGGAAAACAATGTGTGGAACACCCAATGCCATGATCTTTAAGTGAAAATATACGACCAGCGCGAAGACCATTTCAGAAAAGTCTTCTGGTCATTACTCCCTTCCTTTAAATGATACAACATCAGCTGGAAGACTATATTGATATTTCGCACGGAAGAGCCAACCAACTCAAAATCCACCCACCACGGGATAACATTTTGAGCATGGTATATAATACCGGTACATGGTACCTGCACTTTACATTACGAATAGCAAAGACAACAATAGGCATTGTATGTACCTATTGTGCCATTTTTTTAAAAGTTCGTATCATTACATAGTACCAGGTACTTGCACTAGCTCTCACCAACCAGGAGGTACCGTTGTGTTCGTGCTCTATACCTAATGACCATATCCTCATTACCTACCTACAGTATGTTGACCACACCAATTTCATCAACAGCGGCCACCAAATCAAGTCGATACAGGCCCGTACCTGCACTGCAATACATGCTCACACCGTTCGTGCCTTGCTTTGTTTAAAGTTGGCATAGTTTCGTGCTCGTCTCACTGCAATCTGGATCGTATGGCTCTTGCCAAGAACAAGCCTTACCAAAATGTAGAGAATGACAAGAAAGACCGCCACGAGTCCATAGACGGTAAAAAGAGTAGCATCTTCCTCTTCTCCTTGGAACCGTAACAAGCGATCATACTTGGGATCCACGTCCGTACCAATCCAATAGTGCTCCTCCAAAAAGTTGAAGACTTGATTCTCATTCCAAGTACCATCTTCTTGAAAGCACAAGTGACACTGATCCACCGACGGCCAAATGACCTTCATTTCTTCTTCTTGTGTCAACTCCAAGATTTCCGGATGCTTTTTTTGGGTCGTTTCTTTCAGTACATTGATGGCAACGTCATTGTGGACTTCCCATAACCACAGTGGCAATTCCTTCCAGTCTCCTACCGAAGCTGCTTCCTTGTCGTTGGTCAGTCGATCACATCGACGATGTTTGTTACAATCATCGTAATCTTGTACAAAGGCGCTGCTGTAATCAGGATTGTAATAGAATTTGATGAGATTCCGAATGACATTGGCCGCCTCCAATGGCGAAAAGGTCTTGGTCCGTTCGGACACCATTTCGGCCTGGACCAGATGGATTCCGCCCTTTTGTTCGGCCACTCCTAGGCTCACAATGTGGAGCAATTTCCAAAAGCCGCAATCAAATCCGACATGGAATTTGCCACGGTCAATGGTACATTCGTGACTCCATTGTTTGTGCCTCAATTTGTGTTTGGCCAGTATCTCGTGCAAATTGTCGGCCCCCTCGGCAATGTAACTAAAGTTCTTTTGCAAATCATCAATCAATTTGTGCAAATGCCATTCCGGTGGCAAGGTAAGGCTGACCAAATCGAGCCAATTGCTCAAGGCAACCATTTGCTCTTCCGTCTCGAGCTTGCCGGTTTCATCGTAGACCATGGTTTCCAAATGCACAAAGAAGCTGACGGAAGCATCCAAAATCATTTCTTCTTCCAAGGACAAGGGCTTGTGAAGCATTCGTAAAAAGGGAATCTTGGCCACGGTACGTCGTAAAATATTGGCGGGTGGTTTCGGAAGATGTTTGGCTAGAAAGGGTAGAATCTTGCCCGCCTTTTTCTTCGTCTTGTCGTTGTTATTGCCATTTGCGGTTTCCTCATCGTCGACGTGTTGAATGGGCACTATGGGGGTTTTGTCTTCGTCGCCTTGCTTCTTTGGTAATGAAAACGATTTGACCTTATCCATCAATGCCTTTTGTCGGGCGATGAATTCTTTGGTTCCAGGAATGTGAATTTTCATTTTGGACGTCAATTGATCGTGTTCGTGTGATCCACCTGCTGCTGCTGCTGCTGCGGAAGCATTGTTATCCAATAGTAGGGCTTGTTCCCTTGCAAATTTATCTTTACTGTTTTGTGCCAAATGTTCCTTGAGTTGAATCGCACGTTGCTCGCTGTGTCGATCAATGGACTTGAATTGCAATTTCGCCTTGTGGGCTCCTGCCTGAAGTTCGTCTGTGATTTCACCTGCGTTGTTGTTGTTGTTGTTGTTATTTCCTAAAGCATCATCGTATTCTTCTTCATCTTCTTGATTATTATGATTCACTTCCTCTTCTTCTTCTTCTTCCAATCGTCGTCTTCGTTGTCGTCTCAGATGGAACGAATTTGAGGCATCCGCTCGGAATTCATAATGTGAGGATGACTGTAGGTGAGGTGACGATAATGATTCATCATGGGTCAACATGAAGGTTGTTCCGCCTTGTGCTATGCTGGTCAGAATGGCCATTGCTAGTAGAATCCCTATTGTTCTAGTCATCATTGTGGAAGACGAGGTCATTATGACATTGGTTGTTGTATACTACTGTAATGGTACTGTATTATACTATGTATATTGAATATGACCTGACGAAATGATGATGATGATGATGATGTGATACTACAGTATATTGATGAAACGTGAAAAACAGTTTTTGTTTGCGGAAGCTAAAGTAGTTTGTGGGAGCTGAAACAGTTTCTCCCACTTCTCACAATGACTGAAAATGGTCGAGCAATCCGACTTCTTTTCAAATCTTGGATCATCGCATCCATAAAAACGGTATAATATACCGTACACTGTACACTGTACCGGTACTGTAATAATATTGTCCAATAGCAGCATCTCACTCCGCCACACTTTCAGGCCGTTGTCAACATCATCACAATAATGACAAGAATAACAAGAGTATAATACATTGTAACCGGACAATAATCTCTGCATGACAATAAAGTTCATTGTGTCATTGGCAGCTTTGCCTTCTCTGATCAGTGGAACAGTAGTCATCACCAACGAGAACACGAAGGCCAGCATTCACAACAACAACAACAACATTCACAACAACATTCACAACAACATTCACAACATTCACAACATTCACAACATTCACAACATTCACAACATTCACAACATTCACAACAACATTCACAACAACATTAACAACAACAACATTCACAACAACATTCACAACAACAACAACATTAACAACAACATTAACAACAACATTAACAACAACATTAACAACAACAACAACAACAACAACATTAACAACAACAACATTCACAACAACATTCACAACATTCACAACATTCACAACATTCACAACATTCACAACATTCACAACATTCACAACATTCACAACATTCACAACATTCACAACATTCACAACATTCACAACAACTACTACAACTACTACAACTACTACAACTACTACAACTACTACAACTACTACAACTACTACAACTACTACAACTACTACAACTACTACAACTACTACAACTACTACTACTACTACTACTACTACTACTACTACTACTACTACTACTACTACTACTACTACTACTACTACTACTACTACTACTACTACTACTACTACTACTACTACTACTACTACTACTACTACTA